AAAAAAACAACCCCATCCAATCACACGACAGTCTCAACCCCTCCACGCCCTGACCCCTCTGTCCTGATACTTTCACTCCCACTACCATCATCACCATCATCATCATTGTTGTTGTTGTTGATGTTGTATTTTTGTTGTGAATTCCTGGAAGTCCTTCTGTGAAGAGAAGCAGACTCCTCCGACCCCCCACCACTACTATACATGGACTCATCCAGGTCGTCAAACTCAGCCTTAGGGGCCACAGCTCGCTGCGAGGATCCTTGAGAAATCTTCCTGGCCACTTTCCGAGTGGCGTGAACACGCACGTCTCGATCCCGCACCTCCCCCACACAACTATCTCCCGACGTGCGAGCAGACGCGGTGTGCTGTGTCTTTGTCGGACTACTCCGTATCACACGACAAGACTTAGAGTTTGAATAATCATCCTGCTGATGCTGCTGGTGCTCCTGCGAGTTGTCAGAGGGCGTAGAGTTCAAATCCTCCAAACTTCCCGAGCAGCTGTCGGAGAGCGAGAATTTGACGTAGCTCCCGTCGAACCGTGTTGTGTCGCGGGGCGGGCTGTGAGGGGGCGGTGGGTTGTGAGTGGAAGCGGGCGGTGGTCGCGGGATGGGTGGGCTCGGGGAAGTGGGTGAGGCGACGGCGCTGGCTAAGCTGTACACGGCCAGAGCTTGGGTCTCGCTCAGCGAGTGCTTCATGTGCTTGGCCTTGTCCCGCTTCTTGGTGAAGAAATTGAACGGCCGCCTCGACGATGAAGACGACGATGAAGAAGAATTTCCCGAATGTTTCAATTTGGAGGGGCCCGACTTCTCGAGTTTCAGGTCGTCTTTGGTGTGACTAGAGTTGTTGCCCTTGCCGCCGTTGACCCTGAGATCCGTGGTGTAGTCGACTGAGCGACTGCGCACCAGCGGCTTGACCGCCCCGGCACTGTCCAGCAGTTCCTGGACCTTGGCCTTGAGCTCAGCCTCGTCTCGCTGGACCAACGCCGGGGGGGCTCCCCTAGGCCGGGCGACCCCCGACCTCTCCCTCGTCACGCTACTCGACGACCCCGCAGGGTTAGGGTCAAGGTCATCCGACGAATCAAACTCCTCTCTGGCCATGGGCGCTACAGGTCGGGGGTCAGAGCCGCCGGAGCGAGCGCCGACGACAGGGGAGGTAACCCTACTACTACAACTACTACTACCGCCGCCGCCACACGCCTGGTGTCTCTGAACAATCTCCCGATGACGCACGAGTGAGCGAGCGGCGGGTGGGGGCGTGCTGGACGCGGTGGTACCCTCGCTGCAGAAGCTGCTGTCACTGTCCACTACGTCCAGGAGAAACAGTCGCTCCAGCGCGTGGTAGCCGCGGTCGATCACGTCCGTCTTCACACCCTCCATGTGGAGCGGCCCGCGCAGCCCTTTGCTTAGAATAAACGTCTGCTTCCTGCGCCGGACCTGCGTGCTCCTCCACCGCTCCTCCCTCACCAGCTCCCTCTCCTCCTCATCATCATCTCCCTCTCCCTCATCACTCTCATCATCATCATCGCCGTTGTTCTCATCCCAATCAAAGCTGCCTTCATCCTTGTCTAAATCGTCGTCCTCCGCTGAAGCAAGCCTCATCTCTGGCACTCTGGATCCCCCCCTCACACTCCCCCTCCCCCGGGGAGGCCCCCCGCCATCCCCCCTGTCCAGTTCCTGTAGCCGTGTATCCTCGGACGCGCGACTGACCACAAAGTGTTTCTGCTGGACTCCACTTGACGGCGACTCCGGGTTGTTATCCTCATCGAAATAAAAACTGAACGACTTCTCTGGGTTCTTCCTCCTGGCCAGAGCCGCTGTGGAACAGTTGCCTGATAGGTCCTTCCTCCTGCGTCGGCGAGCGACAACAACGGGCGACTCAGCCCCGCTCAGAGAACTCCGCCCGTCCTCCGCACCCACGCTACTGGGGAGGGAGGAGTGACTGAGGGAGGAGTGACTGAGGGAGGAGGAGTGAGTGAGGAGGGAGGAGTGACTGAGGGAGGAGGATTGAGTGAGGAGGGAGGAGGGGGGGTGGCTGCCACTGGCCAGGTCGTCCTGGCTCGACCGGTTGCTCTCCCCATCCCTGAAGCCCGTGTCCGTGGACAGAGCGTTCTCGCTCAGCGGGCTGCGGCCCCGGCTGCTGGCACTGCTGCCGGCTGTACAGCTGCTCAGCTGGCTGGTCCCCCAGCTGCTGTTGCTGTTCAGCTCCTGTCTACTGCTGTCCAGCTCTAGTTTACTGCTGTTACTACTGTCCAGTTCCGGTTTACTGCTGTTACCGCTGTCGCGCCCCACACCGCCAGAAGAAGAGGCGGGCAGGAAGTGTCGGCGGCGCTGCGTACCGGCGGGAGGCTGTTCATGCACAAAATCAACAAGAACCGGGTCAAGGTCACACTGAGACGAGGGGTCACGGACACGGTACGTACCCTGGTAAGGTCGGCTCGGCTGGCCCGATGAGGACGGCGACTTCCCGGCTTGTTTCCGCATGTCCCCCAGCTTCTTCTCCATGTCCTTGAGCTGAAAGACACGACAGGACAACCAAGGTCAGGGGTCACAGACCACTCAAAAACAGGGTGAGGTGTTGATTTTAGTTTTAGTAAAGAGTTTTACGGTACTTGCAACACAATAAGGTCAGAGAAGTGCCGAAGACTAGAGGTGTTACAGGAGAGTAACAAACATAAAAAGGAGGAGAGATAAGGACGATAGATGTTTGATTGGAAAGAAGGAGCAAACCACATCAGAGCATCCGCTAAGCACCCATGATGTTTTGGTTTGAGAAAAAAACAACATCCACATAATAATCAGCTTCTAATACAGGGGGAAAAAAGCAAGACAAACAGAAAGAAAGAAACAAACACACATGTACATATTTGACTCATCTTTCAAAGGACCACCTTCATCTCTGCCGTAAAGTGACAAAACGCCTTTTCTCTTTTTGGTGCCAAAATTTATTTGCAAAATCAAAAGCCTTATCAGTTACACTACTTGTGTGAGAAAATCAAAATGAAATTGTGACTAGTTTTTTGAATAAATTAGCATTCAAATTTTGGAAGCATTCTATTTTTAAATGATTACGCTGACAAAAACCCCCTCTTTTTCTCAAAAATGCTGTGTATAAAAAAAGGCGTTTTGTCAGCTTACGGCAGATCTTTGGAGCCAACCACCCCACCCCCTTCTTCCTCTTGTCCTGTAAACTGTTTTTCTTCTCCATCTGTTCCTCCACACTCAACATCACTACTCATCCCTCCACCCACCAACCACCCACCATTTGTTTGTGACTCACACAGGACCAGAGAAACACACAAACGACGAGCACACTACATACACACAAACGAGCACACTACATACACACAAACGAGCACACTACATACACACAAACGACGAGCACACTACAAACACACAAACGACAAGCACACTACAAACACACAAACGACAAGCACACTACAAACACACAAACGAGCACACTACACACCTTGCCCTGTGCCCGCGTGTACGACTGTCGGCGCTGCTTGCGGACATATTTGCTAACCGTCTTGTCGCTGGCCAGGCGGTGGGCGGCAGAAGTTATCTTTCCCTGAAGCTCCACCTCCAGTTCCAGTTTGGACAGGTCCGTGGACAGCTGGGGAGAAAGTAGGTCGTGTTAGAGGAGAAAGTAGGTCATGTTGGTGGGGAAAGTAGGTCACTTTAGAGGACTAAGTAGGTCACATTGGTGGAAAAAGTAGGTCATTTTAGAAGATTAAGTAGGCCACTTGGTAGAAAAAGCAAGTTGCATTACTGCTACTGAGATTCTTCGTGAGATGTAGAGATAAAGTAGGTCATTTTGGAGGAGTGTGCAGCCCACACCCACCTGATCAGTGTCCTGTACGTTCTTCACAGACAGAGAGAAGGCCGTCCCGACCCTCCTCCGAAACACGGGGGCCTGCTCCCCGGGCTCCAGCGGTATGTCTTTGGGGAGTTCCCCCGTCAGTTCCTGGGGACATACAGGAATATACACTGATTATGATGTTTGAAAATATACACTAGTTGTACCAAATGAAAATATACATTAGCTGTACCAAATGAAAATATACACTGATTATGATGTGTGAAAATATACACTAGACCTAGTTATACCATATGAAATATACACTGATTAGACCATATGAAAATACACACTGATTATGTTATACCAGAAAATACACAGACTATACCATATATATGAAAATATACACTGATTATAATATACAAGAATGACAACTGAATATAACATACGAAAATATTCACACAGATTATACCATAAGGAAATATAAACTAATAATAATAATAATATACCTCCTCTCCCCCAGTACTCACCCCCTCCTGCAAACATAGTTTCTTCAACTCCTCCTCCCTCCCCACTCCCCCTCCCAGTACTCCCCTCCTCCTGCAGACATAGTTTCTTCAACTCCTCCCTCCCTCCAGTAATCACCCCCTCCTGCAGACATAGTTTCTTCAACTCCTCCTTCTTCCCCCTCCTCCCTCTCCTTCTTCCCTCCCCTCCCTCCCTACCCCTCCTGTACTCACCCCCTCCTGCAGACATAGTTTCTTCAACTCCTCCTTCTTCCTCCTCAGCGCCTCCTCCAAGGCCTCCTTCCGTGCCTTGAGAGCCTGAAACATGTCCCTCTCGGCCTTCAGCGAGTCCGACTGCTCGATGGTCACTGTGAGGGAAACACACACAGACATGCATGACCATTAGACAATCTTGTTGGGTGGCTGGTTTGTTACACACAATCAGACGGATGTACTACACACACACACACACACACACACACACACACACACACACACACACACACACGGCTGTCAGCACATTATGTTTCGTGGGTTTGTTTGTTTATTACACACACATGACCGTCAGCACAACTTGTTGTTTGTTTGTTTGTTTGTTACACACACACAGTCGTTAGAACATCGTGTTGGTTTGTTTGTTTGTTTGTTTGATTGTTTGTTTGTTACACACACATGACCGTCAGCACATGTGTGGTTTGTTTGTTTGTTTGTTTGTTCGATTGTTTGTTTGTTACACACACATGACCGTCAGCACATGTGTGGTTTGTTTGTTTGTTTCAGTTTCAGCAACAAGAGGTGCAGAGATACTATAACAATTTGCTCAAAGTCTCTTGGACAGAAAACAAAAGTTTAACTTTCACCGTTTCAGTAACGGTTGTTTTAGTAAACGTTTTACGGCATTTGCGAAAAATAAAGGTCAAAACAGAGGAAATGTCTTATCACATCTTGAGGGAATTTAAGAGAGAGAGCGAGAGAGAGAGAGCGAGAGAGAGAGAGAGAGAGAGAGAGAGAGAGAGAAGAGAGAGAGAGAAGAGAGAGAGGAGAGAG